GTCAATTGATTCTAGTCAATTGATTCTAGTCAATTGATTCTAGTCAATTGATTCTAGTCAATTGATTCTAGTCAATTGATTCTAGTCAATTCACATAACCACTGAACTCCATTAGCTTCATTGCCAAACCCTGGGATCAGAATTTAATCACCCGTGATCTTGGCATATTAGATCTAAAAGGTTAGGGTTTTTATGGTCCGGAACATTTTACGTATACTTCAAACACTAATTATATTTCGAATAACAACACGCAGATAGGTGATATTTATCATTTACTGAATAATATATATAAAAAAAAATGGTTGATACGTACTACAATACTTTATTATAAATTTAAACAAAGATTATAACTAATAATATAACAGAAAATGATTGGTTGGCATTGTAGTAATAAAAAACACTAATTGATTATTGATTAGCAAAATACAGATTTTTAAAGTTCAGACGGATGATACGCGATGCGCATTGTGAATTAAAAATTTAAAAATTTTTTTTTTGATGTTGTACATGAATTAAAAATTTTTTTGGTGTTTGTTATACACAACGATAATCAACGATAATGTATAAAATAAAAAATTCTATTTTCCGTGGATTTATGCAAGTATCATGCGTGTTGTACAATAAATCTTTTTTTGGAGAAAAAAAATAAGATAATATTGATGTTGTTATCAAATATTTGATTGTTGATCCGTTGAAGACTAATAAAAGTGCATAAATTGACATTTTTGACAACTATGTCCCGAATGTTCGGAAAAACCATTTTAATAAAGGAGTTTGGTAATCCCAGAGTACAAACATACAAAACTGTATGTGCGTAATGTACGTTACGTACGCATCACTATCGATATTCTCATTTCTAAATTTCTAGAAGCATTAGAATATATCTAATATGTGTAACATAACAATTTACGAAATTAATATTGCTATCTGGCTATTGATTATATAATTAAAAATTCTGAGTTTAATGTATTCATACGTATAAGTGTTAATAGATATACTCAATTAGAAATTATATACCATGTTAATACTCAAAGATAGTATGTATACATTTTCATCACTCTCATCACTCTAAAAAAGGTTTTAAATTCTTTTCTACTTTAACTTTGAAAATACAAGATCTAATTTCTTTGGATGTAACATGAAAGATGATGTTAATGGTACTCTATCCAAGTGCCGGGCATCTGGAGGAAGTGAAACCTCAAAATTAAGTACTACAAATAAATAAATATTACAATTATTAATTTATTTTGTTTATTATTGTATTTAAAAAATTATGTTGTGATTTCAAAATAAACCTACGTGTCATTGCAATAATAACTTTTTGTTCCATCATTGAAAAATTTTGTCCAATGCTATAATATAATGATACACGTATGAGTATATATAGTATTGTATGGGTATATTGAATAACGGTTACACACAGGTTCATATTTAAATTCTGTGGCCGAAGGCAGGCCACGGAATATGAACCCGCGGATAAATAGGTTATATCCATACAATAAACCATATTTAGTACTGTACTACATCCAAAAAAAAAACATACGTACCAACTTCTAGGCCCACTCGAAAATGGAACCCAATTACTTTTTATCTCCTTTTCGGGATTTATAAATCTTTCAGGAATGAACTCATCAACATTATTCCAAATAGCGGGATTTCTATGAACTTGCCATAGACTCACTGTAATTCTTACTCCTTTCGGTAATGTAATATTCCTTGATAAATTCAATGGCTTAGTAGGAGAACGAAATAATATCTGTAATGCTGGTGGATAGAGACGAAGTGATTCCATAATTATGGCTGTTATGTATTTTAGTTCCTATTACAGTGTTTTTTTTAAAAAAAAATTAATCATACGCATTTTATAGCCAAACTTTAAATAAAAAAAAATACCTTAAGATTTTCAGAAGTTGGTAATTCTGAAGTATTTCCTAAAACATTAATTGCTTCTTCTCTGGCTTTTTTTTGAACATCCTAAAAAAATGCAAAGTGTTTATAGCGATATCAAATCATATAATACCAAATTCAAAATATTATAAAAAAAAAATTTAAAATTAAAATTACGGGATATCTTGCTAAATAATAAAAAACAACGCTTAATGAAACTGAAGAAGCTATGTATATCATACAAAAGAAATAGATTAAATCATTATAGTATATGTTTTATATTTAATACAGTAATAATAAATAATAATAAATTTAATACTCACTGTCATGTCCAGCAACAAAATAAACAACTATATCATCTCTAAGTTCTTTAGCCGTATAATTATATTCTTCTTGATTAGCAGCTTCTAAAATTCCAGCCAATAAATCAGTATTTTCATCATTATTTTTTGATCTAGACATTTGAAGTCTTCGTTGTTCAATCATTTCAAATATAAAATCATCAAATTCTCTAATTAATGAAATGATTTCAGCATTTCTTTTAAGAGGTAATGAATTCAAAAAAGGAAATGCCACAAGGAGCGTATTTGTAACATGTCGAATAATTTTGGTATATATTTTTAAAAAGCGCGGTTGTTCTTCCAAGTTATCCAATGCCTTTGAAATTTTAATTGTTGCAAATTATAAAAAAAAAAAAATAGTAAGTATCGTGAGTTACAGATCATATTAAAATTATATAATGCAGTAATGATAAAATTTAAAAGGACTTTAACATTAAAAAAAAAAAAAAAAATTTAAAAGGAACTGGTATTTTAGTCACGTGAAATACTGGTTCCCAATCACGTTTATATAAATTTTTATATCGATATATATACAATATTATATATATAGATATTGTACCCGGATATAGATTTACCCGAGTGGCGATTTTTTCTACGGGTACAATCTCTAAATTAATATAATACGCACTTTCATATCATATGCGAAGGCCAATTTTCCTAATATTTGAACAGTAATACGTTGCATCAATGAAAACACATCTATCGGTGTATCCGTCCATTTATTTAACAAATTTATAAATTCATTGGTGCATTCTCCAACCATTTCGGAACGAAGCGCTCGATTAAATGCCGGTGTCGCAATTTTTCGTTGTCGTACCCAACGCTTTAAAAATGTTTAAAATGATAGATGTTGATCAAAAAAATTTTATAGATATTTACACAAAATTTTAAATGAAATGATAATTACGTCTCCATTCGAGAATGACACCCCTTTTCCAAAGAAAATTTTTGTTAAATGTTTTTCGGGTAATTCACCTTTCGGAAGGGAGCATGCTTAATAATAATATTATTATTATTACGTATTAAAAATAATAATAGAAACCCTTTTTAGGAAATGAATAATCAAAATTTAAAGGGATAATGATATATACCACTTTCAGAGAGAAATGGTTTAGCATGTTCGATGTCAGTTATTATAATCAACCAATTACCGAAAAAAATCTAAAAATATCAAAAAAAATCTGTTAACTTTTTTACAAACAGTGATAGAAATTAACGAAATGATAAGATTACAAACTTTTACTAAACCAATCCTATCAGGATCAGATTCGCTAATAAGTTTTTGAATTTCATGTTGTCCTTGATTACGCAACAAAATTAACGAGAGTTTAAAGAATGAAACAGTTGGAATGAATTCCAATTCTTTTGGAGGTTTATAAATTCTACATATAAAGTAGAACAATAAAATCAAAACTGCGAAAATTGAATAAAGCCAGAAATTCATTTGTTTGTAAGATCGATAATTTTTGAGTGAGTGATTAAAGTTTTTTTTTTACTAAATAAATTTAATTGATCGCGTTTATTTTATACAGTCGATCCTTATAGCGATATGTGTACTCTCACACTTTCTCTCAAAATGCACATTTTTAAAAAAAAATGCACTTTTTTCTGACAACTTGGCGCTTATGAAAGTTTTTTTTTATTATAATCATGCCTAAAATAGTTACATTAATATGTCGATGTAGATCCTTCGGGATTCCCGAATCCATTCCTTCGGAATTCCCGAAATCTTTGCGAGAAGATTTTCATCTAATGCAAATTAATTTCCAATAATATTTTGCAAAAAATTATTTCTTTATGATAATATCTTTTATCTATAAACGAAAATTTGAATCGATATTGATAGATAAAATAGAAAAGATTACTTTCAAAAATGGTTTAGTTAAATTGCATAGTTGATCAACAAAAGTAAGATTGAAAATTACCAAGTATATAATTTATAATTATATAACATATATTTATTTAATAATAATTAATAGAAATTTGCTTGGCATTGTTATTGATATGTGAACGATATTTAAATCAAAGAGTATATTTATGATGATTTTTCCTTGTTGATTCTCTAACACGGTCTTACCAATGTTGTACTTGTCTACCAGTGTCAATCATACTAATCATTGCTGACCCCTTTCAACCTCGTACGTACGCACTGTACATAGGTTCACAAGTACACATTTAAACATTAATCAGATAAAAAAGTAAAAAAACGTGAAACACGATTTTGTTTGTAATAACGAAAACTTAAATATGTAAATAATTCGAATGGTCTAGAATCATCATTTTTTGTTACACTACAGTAATAAAATACATTATGTGATTAAATCAAGAATATCATTGTGTAAAATAGAATGCGCGGGGAGTATCTCCGAATTGACATCAAATCTCAAATTACTCCAAAAATGGCATTAACTGCAGTAACTGCCGTAACTACTGTAAAATGTAGATATACCTACAACATACATATTGTTATGATCTTTAATGCATTATAATCATTATCTTTCGAAACACAAATACTAATGTTCAATTTAGTTAAGTTGGTTTGTTACATATAAATTAATTTAAGAGTTGCGCAATTGATACGTAATGTAAGTTACATACGTACGTACGTATTATCTGTTATACGTAGAATATTACAGTATACTGACGACTTATTATTGATTTTCTATTGTCAATATATTTGTCTTTAAATTTTTAAATTATCATCTATCGATTTCGAATACCAATATAAGGCCTTTTCTTCATCCAATGTAACACCTATCCCTCTTGTATAACACCGTCCAAGATTACATTTCCCTTTAGGATTTCCTCCTTTGGCTGATTTTTGATATAATTCAAATGCTTTTTTTTCATCTTTAATAACACATATACCTTTTTCATAATAATATGCGAGATCACATTGTCCACGAGAATTTCCTCCTTCGGCTGATTTCAAATACCATTCAAATGCCTTTTTTACATCTCTATTAACATATATACCCTTTTCATAACAACGTCCAACACTACGTTGTCCATAAGAATCTCCACTTTCGGCTGATTTTAAAAATAATTCAAAGGCTTTTTTTTCATCTTTAACTGTTCCAATACCATTTCTGTAGCACATTCCAACATTATTTTGTCCAACTGAATTTCCACTTTCTGCTGATTTTAAATACCATTTAAACGCCTTAATTTCATTTTTAATTGCTCCTACTCCATTTCCATAACACCATCCGAGATTACACTGTCCTCGGGAACTACCATTCTTGGCTGATTTTAAATACCGTTTAAAAATTTTTCTTTCTTCTCTTGAAATACCTACAAGATTTTCATATCCTTCTTTTCCATCTGAGTCACTTTCCTCTTCAGATTTAACGTACTTTTTTTTACTTTCTTTGACCATATTGTAAAAAATTTACGTTTTAGTACTTACATACGTACTGTACGTACTGTACATACTTTTTGAAAAGACTCAATTTAAGTGAACTCCGTGGCGTTTTATTGCAACACAAATTTACTTTTCAAGAGAATAGAAATACAAATTTCGTTAACATATTATGTTGCATTATGCACGACTAAAGTGTAACGTTTTCACATGAATATCTATCTGTTTATCTGTTTATATCTGTTGGTTAAAAAAAAAAAAAAAAGATTTAAACTTTAGATTAAATTGTATAAATTATTTCTTGTTAACGTTAAACTTTTGATGTTACTTCTCAGTTCTATGCTGCAGAGGTTTCTTTATTTTTTTTTTTTAAAAAAAAAAGTGTAAAGGAATTACTTCATTTATACCCAGAAAAGGTTGTACATACTTACGTACGTACGTAAGTGTTTATCTCGTTCACAATAGAGTAACAGGAGGAAACGTTAAAGTTACACAACTGATTTTTCACACGGTGTGAAACACATAAAAAAATGATTTTACAATACTTGATCGGACTTGGTCA